CGTTCTTTATAAGAATGAAGTGGAAAACCAACTTAATCGGAGAATTAAGAAGGTTAGAAGCGATAGAGGTGGTGAGTACGAAGCACCTATTGATGACTTCTGTGCGAGTGTAGGTATAATACACGAGCGTACTGCACCTTACTCACCTCAATCGAACGGTGTTGCCGAACGAAAGAATCGTACATTGAAAGATATGATGAATGCGATGCTTATAAGTTCGGGCCTACCTCAAGATGCTTGGGGTGAGGCGATCTTGACAAGTAATTACCTTTTGAATAAGGTACCCCGAAAGAAGCTCGATAAGACTCCTTATGAGCTGTGGAACGGTAGGAAACCTTCCTACCAGTACCTGAAAGTGTGGGGGTGTCTTGCCAAAGTTTTGGTGCCAACACCTAAGAAAGTAAAGATAGGTCCTAAGACGGTGGACTGTATCTTTATTGGGTATGCACATAATAGTAGTGCTTATCGGTTCTTAGTACATGAGTCCAATAATCCGGATGTACACGAGAACACGATAATAGAATCAAGGAATGCATATTTTTTCGAAAATATATTTCCTTGTAGGTCCAACGAGGGACCAAGTACGTCAAAACGAACGTTTGATGAAACTATGGATAATGATAGTGGGGAATCCGAGAGAGAACCCGAGCTCGAGCCGAGACGCAGTAAGCGGGCGAGAGTTGGAAAATCATTCGGTCCTGATTTTCTAACTTACTTGTTAGAGTACGATTCGGGTACTCTAACTTGTTTATTAGAAAATGAACCCGATTTTCTATCTTGTTTGATAGAGAACGAGCCTCGAACGTATGTAGAAGCCGTGACTTCTACGGAAGGACCAATGTGGAAAGAGGCTATAAAAAGTGAAGTGGATTCTATTCTACAGAATCACACTTGGGAACTGGTTGATCTTCCTCCGGGTAGTAAACCCTTAGGATCCAAGTGGGTCTTTAAAAGGAAGATGAAACCGGACGGTTCCATCGAGAAGTATAAGGCTAGGCTTGTAATCAAGGGTTACAGGCAACGCGAGGGCCTCGATTACTTCGACACGTATTCTCCCGTGACGAGAATAAACTCCATTAGGATGATACTTGCCATAGCCGCGTTGCGGAACTTGGAAGTTCATCAAATGGATGTGAAAACCGCTTTCCTAAATGGCGAATTAGATGAGGAAATCTATATGGAACAACCCGAAGGGTTCGTGGTTCCGGGCCAAGAGAGGAAAGTGTGTAAGTTGGTTAAATCGCTCTATGGTTTAAAACAAGCGCCTAAGCAGTGGCACGAGAAGTTTGACCATGCGATGTTAACGAACGGGTTTAAAATAAACGAAGGTGACAAATGTGTCTACGTTAAGGGAACGATAGATGGCTACGTCATTCTTTGTTTATATGTCGATGATATTCTCATCGTTGGTAGTAATGATCGGATGATCAAGTCTACCAAAAACATGTTAAATGCGAGATTTGACATGAAGGATATGGGTTTGGCTGATTTAATCCTCGGGATTAGAATCATTAGAAGACCTGATGGTCTCGTGTTGAGCCAATCACATTATATTGACAGAATCCTTGAGAGATTTAACAAGGATGATAGTCAAGTGGCTAGGACACCATTTGATACAAATATTCATCTAACCAAGAACCACGGAGAAGGTATTTCACAAGTGGAATATGCTCGGGTCATTGGTAGCTTGATGTATCTTATGAGCTGTACTAGGCCGGATATTGCCTATGCGGTTAGTAAACTCAGTAGATATACGAGTAACCCCGGTGCTATGCACTGGAAGGCAATAGTAAAGGTTATGAGATACTTGAGGTATACTCGTGGTCTTGGACTGCACTACGGGAGATATCCCGCTGTACTTGAAGGGTATAGCGATGCGAATTGGATATCTGATATTAAGGACTCTAAGTCCACGAGTGGCTACGTGTTTACACTAGCCGGTGCAGCCGTTGCATGGAAATCCTCTAAGCAAACTGTGATAGCTAGATCCACGATGGAATCTGAGCTAATAGCCTTGGACAAAGGTTGTGAAGAGGCTGAATGGCTACGCCATTTTATAGAGGATATTCCTAATTGGGAAAGACCGGTACCTCCAATATGTGTGCATTGCGATAGTCAAGCCACAATTGGGAGAGTACAGAGTCATATGTATAATGGTAAGTCTAGACATGTGCGTCGTAGACATAATACCATTAGACAACTACTCACAACTGGAGTTGTCTCGATTGACTACGTAAAGTCAAAAGACAATATAGCGGATCCGCTGACCAAAGGGTTAGGAAGAGAAGTTGTGGAGAAATTGACACGAGGAATGGGTCTACTGCCCTTGGACTAAAAAGTTCTATAGTGGATACCCAACCTAGCTGGCACCTAGGTTCAATGGGACAACTAAATTATGGAACGGAGCGCGTCACTGTGGGGGTCTCGGACTCCCTACCACTCCTCGTTAAAACAGTGACTCCTGCAAGAGGCTAGCATATTAATGCTTTAATGATTCTTGAGTATGCGGGATACTCGAGAAAGAATCACCTATGTTAGAGAGAAGTGAGGGTCGCTTCAAATGAGAATTGTTGGGCACAATTCTTTAGAAACTCTCGCAGAACCAGGAACGGTGACCCACGACCAAAACGGGCACACTCATGAGAGCAAGAGCATGGTTGGGAGATTCCTGTGTGAGATATGTCATCGTCTACACAAACGGCAGTCGGTTCAAAGACATCGCGTTCTACCGTACAGCCAGTAGAGTAAACATGTCTTTACGAGGGAAGGTTCAAAGGGTATAGTGACTCCCTACCTATCCTATGCATGGATCGACCGTTTGAACACAGTTGTTTCCGATTTCAAAATACCCCGAAAATCAATTTTTCATTCATGTGGGGGATTGTTGGAAAAAATAGCTTAAAATGGCATAAAATGGCATGTTAAGTGGCTATTTTGTGGTACAATTATCAGTGGGGTCCACTTCCGATTTGGGTCGGGTCAAAGTGGATTCGGATTCTTCGTAGTGAGACGAAGAGATCGATATATTGTACGCTCAAAACGGATAATGGGTGAATGAGATATTGATTCTCAAAGTAGACCCATTTGAGTTGGAAAATGAAGGGAAAAAAGTGAGCTTTTTGTCCCACATTGCTTTGGAATGAAGATTTTCCCCCCTTATATACAAGAGCTCTTTTGAAGCTTGTAGAATTGTATAGCATAGAGGCTCTCTCGCGCGGGGGGGGGGGGGGGGGTGCAAATCAAATTCCAACGAGCAGAGATTGAAAAAGGCTTGAAATCAAGCCCGAGCTCGTGTGCGCCGGCACCTGGGGGCACGAATGTCGTCCGGAAATTGGCTGGCCTTGCTATAAACTCACAACTCTCGTGCAACAGCCACCTACTCTGTGCTACAAGAGAGCACGAGAGGTTGTGGTGCACCGAGAGCACAACTCTCGTGCAACAGAGTCCACGAAAGGTGCAAGGGCCGAAATTGGATGAGGTCGAAAGTTGAGCCCGAACCCTGTACGCTAACGGTCAGGAACCCGAAAGTTCTGACTGTTGAGGGGATTAATTGTCTCTTAATTCCAATTTTTTGAATTCAATTCCCAGGTAGTGGCCTGCTGTTATAGCTGTTGGAAGGCAGCTTTAATGTCATTTTTAATTGCCATAATAAAGGCTATTGGCTCCTTCAACCCTATATAAGAGAGGGTAGAGGCAGTAGAGTTTTACACACAGCTTTACACAGCACGAAAGTATACTTTTCCAGCTTCAAAAATCTCTGCTTCTACTCTTTCTTTAGCTATACTGTGTTCATAGCCATTGTCTTGCTCGCCGGATCCTTTGTTTGAATGCTCAAACATTGGATCATAGCAAGTTTTATCCTGGGAAGCCTAGGCCACAACGCTCATAACATCTACGGGAGGTGGCAAATAAGGTTTTAAGGAAAGAGTGCTCACTCGACTCTTGCAAAAACCCAACACCAAACACTAGCCAAATTTCTTCATCTTTTCTTCCCTTCTTTCCAGAAAAATAATAGTCAATTTTATTTGATTATTATTCGTTTTTCTACCAACGCTACCAACATAACTATAGTGCACAATCGGCAACATGGATGATTTACCACAACAGGAATTATACGAAGGCAAATTGTATCTTTTTCTCATTTGAATCCTCCAAAAGCCACCATATAGTAAACCGATGCCGCAAAGGAATATTCTGGTAAGTCCTAACGCCCCCGGACAGTGTCATTGTCGATGGTACCGGCAGCCAAATTGAAGATCTAGAACCGGGCCATGCAAAACAGGAGGAAGGTTGCGATATGAACATACATGTTCCTAAACCCAAGCCTTTCCATATTCCATCCAAAGACATAGAAAGTGCAGAACAAAGAGAGGTATGCTAAAGAAATGTCATTCCAAAACAGTTGAGGTTGAGTAGCGAAACAACCACCATCATGTGAGCCCATTCGTTAGGCTTGTAAGTAACGTTCTTGCAGTACTCTTTTCTGAGCCTGAAAATGTCTTCGGGTTTCCACTGTATCAAAAGTACAAGGTGATACAATCGTTTCGGGTGTTGGTATAGACACATCAGAGTAAACAACGCATTAAGGATTTGATTGTTCACTTCAAACCAAGCATTTCTCTCAGATTTCTTAGGGAGGGTATAGTTCAACATTCTCATCATCACAAGGAATAGAATTGCGCCAGAGACAGCTACACATATGAATGGACACTTTTACCCCTGCTTTTAACGTCAAACTAACAACAAATTCACAGAAGGACTACTACTGGACAAATCTGAAAATCAAGTGTCTTTTTTGTCCAAATTAAAAGTCAAGGACTAATTTTGGAACATTGCAATAGTCAGAGGACTATTGCTGGAATTAACTCCTTTTAAATTCAAAGTGTCAGGGTTTGAACTCTTAATATCTTTTAAGAGATAAGAATGCAAGACCATTTACACCGAACAAACTGCTGATTGAAATCAGTTTTATTTCTTCCAACACACTCCGTATAAATATTCTCCATAACACGCCCTTTCCAAAACCCTCGTACTCTCGCGCTCTGCATCGACTCTCATACAAAAATCCACCTTCAGATCTCCTTCTTTCTCTCCAGACGCAACAAATCAAAGGTACTTCCGGCGGTATTACGATGCGATTGTTTTATTCGGTTTTTGTTGGATGTTTTTGTTCTTATTTCTGCGAATTATTTTTTCAGATGGTGTCGGACGCTAGCAAGAGGAGAGGAGCACAGAAGAAGGCGGCGGCGGCTGCAAAAAGAGGCGGTAAAGCTGCTGCGGCCTCGTCCAAGGCCGTAGCTGCGGAGACTGCCGCGGAGAACGGCAGTGCGAGCGTCAACAATTTGGCCAACGGAGTTGAGGAGCTCCAGATATCCGATCGGACGTGTACGGGCGTTCTGTGTTCGCATCCTCTGTCTAGAGATATTCGGGTGAGGTTTCTGATCTGCGTTTTGGATTCTCTGTTGTCAGGAGCATTTGCCTTGATTTTGTTTCAGTTTTGCATGTCATTGATTGTACGTTACCAAATAGTGTGTATGATTCAAAAGGATTAGCTTATTACTGATGAGAACATTTGCTGGATAATATTGGTTTACTTGCCGAAGTAGTGTGGCATACTAGTTTTGGTTTGATAATGGTGTTAAAGAACAATGCTGTTGATTAATATGCACCCTATTTTGAGTAACAATTAGCCAATTATGCACATAGGATGTCATAATGAAGAAAATGCTGTTGATTTATATTATTTTATTTTATATCTGAAACTACAGAAGCTTGAACCAATGATACTCTTGTGTCCAACAGAACCCTAGTGATTTAGAGGGGCTGTGAATAGTGTTTACTATTTCTTTAGTATTCATGATATGATGTGACAGCATCCTTGTGCTCTGTTGCTGTTTAGTTCATTCTTGGATTCTTTTCCTACATATGTTTCGGTTGCATTATATATTAGTAATATGGATGGTATCTTCTTTGTGAAACTTGTAACTTTCTTGGTCTTATTGATGTTACAACTTGCAACTCAAAGACATGATGGTATTGTTTATTTGTTTGGGAAGCTCACATTCCATGAACAGGCCTCACATTCCCTTGAATCAAACAAGGGCATATAATATTGCAAGATTCACATTCTATGAGTTATGTGATATATAACTCGAACCAAATGCCCCATAGTAATGTAAATTGCAAATAGTTTATTGAAGAAACATCAAATGGCACTATAATTTTTTGAATTCAATTGAATATGGGTTGACGAGAATTGCCAATAAGGAAATGGTGATGTTTTCAATGTTAGATTCTGATTTTGTCTAATTGATTCTTTTTGATAATCTTTCATAATTTTGCATATTGCAGATAGAGTCTTTGTCCCTCACTTTCCATGGACATGAGCTTATAGTTGATTCTGAACTGGAGCTCAACTATGGGAGGTATGCTCGTAAATTCAAAATTTTACAGTATACTTGAACTGTGTCATTTTAGTGCAGTTAATATAATTTTGAGAGTTTAGTACAGTAAATATTTCATTTTAGCATATTATCATTGCAGGCGTTATGGTTTTCTTGGGCTGAATGGCTGCGGTAAATCCACTCTTCTTACTGCCATAGGATGTCGGGAACTTCCCATACCAGAGCATATGGATATTTTCCACCTTAGTCGTGAGATTGAAGCATCTGACATGTCTTCACTTGAGGCTGTTATATGCTGTGATGAAGAAAGGTTGAAATTGGAGAAAGAAGCTGAAGCTTTGGCAGGACAGGTATGATGCTGTTATAGGGAAACACAAGATCTTTCTCGATATTTTATAGTATTAGTTTTGGCATTTGTTAACATATTTTCTGTCCGGCATCAGGACGATGGGGGTGGAGAACAGCTTGATCGTATATATGAGCGTCTAGAAGCCTTGGATGTATCAACTGCTGAGAAGCGTGCTGCTGAGATCTTATATGGTCTTGGTTTTAGTAAGAAGATGCAAGAAAAGAAAACACGTGACTTTTCAGGTGGATGGAGAATGAGGATTGCCCTTGCACGGGCCCTGTTTATGAATCCAACTATACTGTTACTTGATGAACCCACAAATCACCTTGGTATGGTCCCTTGGCATTTACCTGAAAAAACAAACTACATGTGAATAATATTACCTTTCCTCCATGTTTTCTATGGATTCTGATTATAAAATCCTTATTGAAGATGATTAATTATCAAGAGTTTAGCTATTGCAGAATGAAAATATACAGTAAATGTTAAATGCTGTCTTCTAGTATTGTTCCTTTGAGTGTTTTTGTTTTCCTATATTTGGTAGTTTTCACGTATCTTTTGTTTTTACGGAGAAAAAATAATTTGACCATTAATGTTCTTCAATTTTGGTAATCAAACTTTTGATCTATGTCTAAGAAATTGGCCTAATCCGGTTGTGTACTACTTTGCTGTTGCTTGCTCTTGCATTTTATGGACCCAAATTTCCCTGTTATGTATTTTTAAGTCAATATCAAACAGTGTGGTGTAATGCTAATAATTTCCTTTTATCAATACAGACTTGGAGGCTTGCGTGTGGTTAGAAGAAACATTGAAGAAATTTGAACGCATCCTTGTGGTTGTTTCACACTCTCAAGATTTTCTGAACGGTGTATGCACAAACATCATTCACATGCAGAATAAGAAGTTGAAGATCTATACTGGTAATTATGACCAATATGTCCAAACCCGTGCAGACCTTGAAGAAAATCAAATGAAGCAATACAAATGGGAGCAGGAGCAGATTGCTTCAATGAAGGAGTACATTGCTCGATTCGGACATGGTTCAGCCAAACTAGCTCGTCAAGCTCAGAGCAAAGAAAAAACATTGGCCAAAATGGAGCGAGGAGGTCTTACTGAGAAAGTTGCGAGGGACAAGGTCCTGGTTTTCCGATTCCATGATGTCGGAAAACTTCCTCCACCTGTTTTGCAGTTTGTGGAAGTCACCTTTGGGTATACACCTGATAATCTCATCTACAAGAACATTGATTTTGGTGTTGACCTTGATTCAAGGATAGCACTAGTAGGTCCCAATGGAGCGGGAAAGAGCACATTGCTTAAGTTAATGGTTGGGGATTTAGGACCCCTAGATGGCATGGTTCGGCGGCATAATCACCTTAAGATTGCACAGTTCCATCAGCACTTGGCTGAGAAACTTGACATGGAAATGTCTGCCCTTCAGTACATGATCAAAGAGTATCCTGGAAATGAAGAGGAGAAGATGAGGGGGGCAGTTGGGAAGTTTGGTCTCACTGGGAAAGCTCAGGTAATGCCCATGAAGAACCTGTCTGATGGCCAACGTAGCCGGGTGGTTTTTGCATGGTTAGCTTTTAGGCAGCCTCACCTATTACTGTTGGACGAGCCAACCAACCATCTGGATATTGAGACTATTGACTCACTAGCAGATGCCTTGAATGAATGGGATGGTGGGATGGTTCTTGTTAGCCATGATTTCAGGCTCATAAACCAGGTCGCCCGCGAGATATGGGTCTGCGAAAACCAGGCTGTTACCAAGTGGGAGGGTGACATTATGGACTTTAAGCGACACTTGAAAAGCAATGCAGGTCTAGGCGATTGAAGCAAACCATGCCAAGTCTCAATTTTAAAGAGTGAGCCATTCCCCTCGGCCTATACTTCCAGGCCCACTGGTAACATCATCAAAAAGCGGTTTCTTTTATAAGATTTTGATTAAATCTTGGAAGAGGTGCCCCTATCTCTGCACTCCGCTCTCCAGGTGATTAGTTTAGTATGCTTAAATTTCTATTTCAGTTTATGATACTCATTCACCGGGGGAGAGCGTTAAACATGGCAGATGCCAGTTTCTGAGCTGTGTTAACAATAGTGCTTCCCATAGTATTATTATCCGTGACTTCTGGATTGTTACCTTGACCAAAACTAAATCAAAATACCATGTTCTTATGAATTTTGCCCTTTAATTTTGCATTTTTGCCTCTTGAGTTGTAATTTCGAACAGAATGTTTTATACAGTGAATGAATGTGTAACAGTGAAATATTATAGGATTATTTTCCTTCACAGTTTTCTTCTGCCGTACTGCCATTATCATGCATGCCGAATTCCAACCTATTTATAGGTGTACGAGGATGGAAGTTAACTTGGATAAGATTGCAAATTTCAAATTTGAAGTTCCATCGCACAACCGTTGAAAACTGGCTATAGTAGTAGTACTCTTAATTTTCCAAAGCTCTGACCAAATTGGATTTCTTAATCTGTCTGAACTTTGGACATAATTTCTGTTCAAATTGTGAGTCTAAAATTCGGTCCAAAATGGACTAATTATAGATTAACCTAGGACTAATCAATTCTCCCATGAAGAATGAGAATAAGTTTCATTTGTCCATGCCTCCATGGTAAAAAGATGGATGAATTAGATTTATACTTTAAATTAAAAAGACTGGCAGTTTTGTAAAAATGTGGCAATTTTGAAAAAAAAAAAAGAAAAGGAAATTGAATGAATAAAAGATGAGTTAATGTCATATGGGGTCTTCTGAATATGGTAGTTTTGCTACGTTTAGTCCTAAACTTTCAAATTGACCACCCGTGGTCTTTTGACTTTCAAATTGTTACTATCAATGGTCCAAGTTTACCTCCTATGGCCCTTCAACTTTTAAACTTTAACCAGTCGTGATTCTCCAGGAAGGACCATGTGTGGTTAAAATTTGATAGTTGAAGAACCGTGGGTGGTTAACTTGTACCACGAATGATTACAAGTCGAAATTTCACATAAGCCTTCACTCGCAATGCATAACACACTAAATCAAGAATTGATTCAATTATTAAGTGGTTAACAAGGTCACTGGCAAGAGAATAGATCAATCATGTGTTATACCTTGACTCATCTATCATAAGTTGAGTTGTAACAAGTTCCATCAAGACAACTGCAAACCAACAAAGGGGGAGTAATCACAACTTCAAGTATAAAAAGGCAATTTATCCAACACAAAGCACAATGAGTTATTCAAACAATTTTTTTAAAATCACCCAAATTATCCCCTCCCCCACACTAAAAAGTAACATCGTCCTCGATGTAAAAGAAAATAAAGCACAAAGGATATAAACACAATAAGCACAAAAGAGGGGGATAGGAAAGGGTAGCACAGTGATCATAAAGAGCACAATATCTATTATCTCACTAAGTAAAGCACTATACACACTAAAGAAAGTAGAGAATGTAGATGAGACTCCCCTAATGAATCCTTTATGCGCAAAAGGGTCGTCATGAAGCCTTCTTGGAATTGAGCATACTCCTTAGTGTCAATCCTAGGATCAAGAGAATATACACATGAAAGCATAAGTGAAAGCATGATACATCAAAAATCAAAGTGTAAAGGAAAACAAAGAAAATAAAATGCAATGAAGTAAAAGATAACATGGGGTGCCTCCCATGAAGCACTAAGTTTAGTGTCACTAGCTCATATAGGCATCAATAACAAGAAATCAAACCAAATCCAAGTCCCAAAACACTTAGCTACTCATAATATAACAATAGATACACAATATTAAAGAAGTAATTGAAAGCATAAATGGAAATCATTCGTGGTACAAGAACCGTGGGTGGTTAACTTGTAAGGGTATTCTTGACCTTTCACTTGGTGTTAGTATTGTAACTTAACCTAGTAGACCACATTCATTCTTTCCTTACGCAAATAACGCAAATAAAAAGAAAATAAAAACAAAGAAAAAAATGGTCTAGTCTCCTAGAATAGTCATTCACTAATGTTAACTACCACATAACAATCAAAACCAAGCCATCCCCGGCAACACCTCCAAATTTGATTAGGACGGTTTTCACACATCCATCAAGTATCAAATCACAGTATAGAGTTTAGATATCGTTCCACTAGAGATGGATCTTGCAATGTTAGGAATTGATGCAAAGTGGAGTTAAACACAAGCTAAAACTACCCTTTTAGAAGCTAGACCTATCGATTAGGAGTGGGGTTGATATGATTAAGCAAATAACAAACAGGACAAGTAAAACAAAGGACCGGGACTTGGTTGATTCAAGCTAAGATGTCAAATATTATACTAAGGATTATGAAACTAAAACAAGGTATAGGGTATGTGAGATACACAAAAGTGTCCAAATACCACTCTCGTAGCTATTTGGACTTGCAACCTCACCTTGAACTCCACTCTCATGGAAATTGCACCCAAGGTTACCCAAACAAGAACACAAGGCATAAATTCTCCTTACCACCCGAAATACTCTTGTATTGGGCATCAAGTGTCTGAATGTGTGGCTAGTGTACAAGCTCTACTCTCGTAGCAACAAACACACTCCAAATAAAGCATATAATTGAGATCCAACAATTATACACAATTTTACAACAAACCCAATTCACACAACAAACCCTAGACCACCCAAATAAACCTCTTTATGCAATCCAACTCATATAGGCATCAATAACAAGAAATCAAACCAAATCCTAGTCCCAAAACACTTAGGAGCTGTTTACTAATAGAGAATTTCCCAAAATTTCCAGTAATTTTTGAAAAACTAGAAGGAGGGGCGTTTACTAAGTTATTTCTAATTTTTAAATGAGAGAATAGTTCTCTATTATTTTAGGAAATTAGAAACCCATTCAAAACTTGTTTTCTTATTTGGAAACACGCTGATGAACAGTAACATTACAAGCATCGATTCCCACCTCCAATTTTTATTGCCTTTCTTCCTCACGTTTCTTTGTCACTCGTCTCCTTCACTTCTTCTCCGTCTCCGTCGAGCGGCTGCGTGGAGGTGGAAAAATCATTTCAAGAATTACTCAGAGATGACTCCTTTGCATTCTTCTGCCAAATCTACTCTAAAGCCATCAACAAATTAGACGATGCTCCACTGATTTCAAACGGAACTTTGCCCAGATCCTCTGTGTATCATACGCGGCTTTGCTCTGATCATCTCTATACCAGACGGCAGTTCGCTCCGAGCCTCTCTATACCATCGTGAATTCTCTCCAAAAACGGAGTCACTCAAATCATCTGTTGTATCTTGCCAATCACCTCCTTCCAAGGTAAACCATTCAGGTTCTCGAAGAAATTTATTTAAAAATATGAACAAATCTGATATGAGATTTTGGTTGAACTGATATGAGATTTTGGTTAAATGTGCATGTGAACAAATCTGGATTTTATGACCCAAGCTTTTCCGATTTCATAGATATAGTTGAGTTGGGGCTGCTTCTAAACAATGAAAAAAGAAAACTGTTATGGATGTTGACTAAGCGGTAATTTATACCATACACCCCGGCGTATAGCGCTATATGCGCCCAGCATCAAAACGACGCCGTATGGAATTGTTACGTAACGGACTTTTTTTTATTAGTGTGTTAACGCCGTCAAATGGTAAGAAGAGGGAAGTGAGAGAGCGGCTCTAAAGAGATGGTGTCGTCGCGCCGATCATGCATATTGGATTAGAGAACACGAGAGCGATCTGATTGTTCGATTTGCGTCGTATTCTGCAATTGTTGGATGTAAGCCATGTATGATTCGATTGCGCAGCAGGATATGGCGGAGACAGAGCATACAACTGATCCTGTTGGAGTGGTAGATACAGAGGATGCTAATTCAGGTATTTGATTTTTAAGATTTTATTTTGTATTTTTGTTTGATGTATGATGAATATATTGAACTCGTCGTTGAATTATATAAGAATTGATATAGAATTGTTGTTTGATTGTGGTTGTTTTGGATGTTAGTATGGTTTGATTTGAAGTTGTTGTTTCAGGGAGATTGTACGTGTACTATATGGTTTGATTTGTTCGTTTTTATGATTATGTGTATTGTGCCATATGTGTATGTGTATTGTAGTTATGGATTATGTACATTAACAGTATGGGATATAGGTTTTATGTATTTTTATGATTATGTGTATTGTGCCATATGTTTATGTGTATTGTAGTTATGGATTATGTACATTAACAGTATGGGTAGTTAAACTGTATGTGATTTGCAGCTGATCAGGATTTGGTAGGGATGTCAGTGTGTTCGGTTGATGAAGCATATGACATGTATAATGATTATGCTTTTAGAGTAGGTTTTAATGTGAGGAGGGGTAAGCAAAGATATAATTCTACTACAAAAACAATGAAGACGAAGATGTTCCATTGTTCGAAGGATGGATTTAAAAGGAGTACAGGAAAAGGGTGTTATTCTAAAATTGATGGTCGTACAGGTTGTGGTGCATTTGTCCAATTCGATTTACATGAGAATGGGATGTGGATTGTTTCGAAGCATGAGAAGTTGCATAATCATGAATTGGTTCCACCAAGCAAGAGTTACCTTCTAAGGTCACATAGGATGGTGTCTAGGAATCATATATCCTATCTTACTGATTTGAAGAGCAGTGGTGTGTCTGTTGCAGATAGTGTAAGATTCCTTAAAACACAATCAGGGGGATCACCACTTGTTGGGTTTACAAGTAGGGATGCATATAACTCTCTATGTACCGATGCATTGAACATATTGGATGGTACCGATTCAAACACATTGATTGAAATATTCAAACGGAGGCAGTCAAGTGAAAGGGATTTTTACTTTGATTTTGAGGTGGATTTGGAGTCAAGGTTGTGTAGTTTTTTTTGGAGAGATGGACGGATGAGGAGAGACTATGATTTGTTCGGGGACTTGTTAGTTCACGATACAACATATCGTACTAACAAATATGACATGATTTGTGGACCTTTTGTTGGCATGAATAACCATTGCATGAATGTTATGTTTGGATGCGGTTTTTTGATGAATGAGAAGATTGAGTCATTTGTATGGTTGTTTAAGACATTTTTGAGATCTATGGATTACAGAAGTCCACAAAGCATAATGACTGATCAATGTGCTGCTATGGCTGCTGCAATTGTTCAAGTTTTTCCAAGTTCACGACATCGGCTATGTATATGGCATATTGGCGAGAACTCAAAGAAGCACATTAAA